AATGTATCTTTGTGGACTTTCTCACAATTTGAAATTTCATTTCTCCTTATTGTATAGAATCAGTTACAGTAGTCTAGCTCAGTGGTCCTCAACCTGTTGTGTCAGCTCCACTGGCTGCCAGTCCATTTCCGAGCACAATTCAAAATGCTGGTCTTGACCTATATGGTTTCGGCCCCAATTACTTGTCCAAATGTATCTCCCTCTACATCCCGCCTCAGACTTTAAGATTGTCCGGGGAGGCCCTGCTCTCGGTCCCGCCTTCTTTGCAAATGTGTTTGGCGGGGATGAGAGACAGGGCCTTATCAGTGGTGGCCCCTGCCTCTGGAATACTCTCCTCAGTGAGATTAGGTCAGCTCCATCCCTCCTCTCCTTCAGGAAGAAGCTTAAATCATGGTTCTGGGGCCAGGCATTTGTGGAGCAGGCTTGATAGTGATTGCAATGTTATGTTAACTGCCAATGGAACAGGCTCTGACAGTCTTGGGATGCTGAATTGGATTGGATTTGGCTAAATGGTTGTTAATAATGTTTTTAAAATGGATTTTAACTTAATCAATTTATTTAATGTGTAATGTTGATATATTGTGTATGTATTTTGTATGTGTTGCCATAGAATTGTTGCCGTTGTAAGCCGCCCTGAGTCCCCCTTCGGGGGTTGAGAAGGGCAGGGTACAAATGTTGGAAATAAATAAATAAATAAATAAAATAAACCAGGGGCTCCCAGAAATCCTAATAGCTAGTAAACTAACTGGGATTTCTGGGAGTTGTAGCCCAAAAACATCTGGGCGCCCCAGGTTGAGAACCACTGGTCTAGCTTATCCAACATAAATGGGCCAGCAGAACGTTGGATAAGCGAAAATGTTGGATCATAAGGAGGGATTAAAGAAAAGACTATTAAACGTCAAATTACATCATGAGTTTACAAATTAAGCACCAAAACATCATGTTTTACAACAAATCGATAGAAAAAGCAGTTCAATACACGGTAACGTTATGTAGTAATTACTGTATTTACGAATTTAGCACCAAAACATTACAATGTATTGAAACAGCTGTGGATTCGGGCGAGAGGTAGACTGTGTTGGATAATAGAGAACATTGGATGAGTGAAGGTTGGATCACCGAGATTCTACTGTATATGCTTTTCAAACTTTTATGCTGGTTGATTGTGAACTTTAGAGTAATATGGATTTACCTTGTGTTCTCTTTTGACAATATATGAATTAGAAAACCACTAATCTACCTCAAGGTTGGAAAATATTCTAGATGTTGTCACACTTCAACTCCCAACAGGAGCCGCGGTGGCGCAACAGGTTAAATCCTTGTGCCGGCTGAACTGCTGACCTGAAGGTTGGCGGTTCCAATCCACAAGACAAGGTGAGCTCCTGTCTGTCAGCCCCAGCTTCCCATGTAGGGACATGAGATAAGCTTCCCACAGGATGGTAACACATCTGGGTGTCCCCTGGGCAACGTCTTTGCAGACGGCCAATTCTCTCACACCAGAAGCGACATGCAGTATATTCCAAAGCTGCTTCTGACATGATTTATATAAAAAACCTCCCAGCAGCCCAATCTAACATAACCAGTGGTGAGGAATGCTAGGAGTTGCAGTTCAATAACCACCTGGAGGGTGACACAATTTGTATCCCTGATATATACACACACAGGTGCAAACAACTCATTCCGTATGAGCTGAATTTGGCTCAGGCATTTCACTTTTAGTAATGGCAATTGTTTTTCTTCCCTTCTGTTCTACAACTTTTCTCTGAACTTTGCTGGTGGTCATTTACTGCTCTCTGCTTCTTCCCTCCAGCTAGCCAGCATCTGCTCTCTGCCCAGATACATCTTTTGCAAAAGCAAGCTGTGTTGTGCCAAGCCAGCACTCGTTAGCACTTTGGACATTTTTCTGTCAGCAAGAGCACCAATAACTGCTCCTTTGTCATCATTATTCACACAAAAGATGGAACACACACATGTTCAAAGGACGCTGTTGTTCCCCAAAGAGCCTCAGGCAAACTGCAACCATTTAGAGAACCCGCTGTCCAGATGACAAAAGTTACAGCAGCTTCTACTCCAGAGGAAGGGGGAAAAAACTAATTTATGCCAGCACAGTAATTGGCTCAAGGACAGAAGAATCAACATCCAATTAAAACATTGTCCTTGGACTTAAACCTCTTCCAGTTTATTTATATTCAGGTATTCCAGATTAGCCAAACTGTGAATTAGAGTGAGTAAATAGATAAGCCTGAGTTTACTCACAAGGAACTATGCATTGGGTTTCTGGTACAAATATAAGATTTATCTGACAGCATTCAACACCGTAAAGTAAAGAAAAGGCACATCTACAGTGTGGAATTAATGCAGTTTGATGCCTCTTTAGCTGCCCTGGCTCAGTGCAATGGAATCATGGGAATTGTAGTTTTACAAAGTCTGAAAGGCCTTCTCTGCCTCACCAAACTACAGAACTGCAGTGGCGCAACGGCTTAAACTCTTGTGCTGGCTAGACTGCTGACCTGAAGGTTGGGTTGATGACCTGAAGGTTGCCGGTTCGGCAAGATGGAGTGAGCTTCCATCTTGCAGGGACATGAGAGAAGTCTCCCAGTAGGATGGTAGCACATCAGGGCGTCCCCTGGATAACATATCTGTAGATGGCCAATTCTCTCACACAAGAAGTGACTTGCAGTATGTTCTCAAGTAGCTTCTAACACAATAAAAAAACAACAACCCCAAACTACAAATCCCTGATTTCCATAGTCTCTATACATCATAGTCAAAGTGGTGTCAAACTGCATTAATTCTACAGGTAGATGCACCCTGAGTGTGTTCCATGCACAGCAAAACATCCACTATTTGCCTATTTGTTAATTAACAAACTATCTGATTTATATTTTTCTCAAACACAACATTGCAATTTTCTACCACATGTGTGCTCCTATTTACTTCCTGGCTTCAATAAGGCTTACATCCAGGTAAAATGCAACATTTAAACATTCAGCACAGACTCCTTTTACACAGCTGAATAAAATCCCACATTTTCTGCTTTGAACTGGAATATATGGCAGTGTGGACTCAGATAACCAAGTTCAAAGCAGATACAACATAACTCCTTTCTCTGTTCTGTCCTGTTCTGTCTGTCCAAATGGCACTGAATATTTGCTGTGTATGCGTACTGTGATCTGCCCTGAGTCCCCTTGAGAAGATAGGCCGGAATATAAATAAAGTGTTATTATTATTACTCTATTGTGGGATTTTCTACCTTGATATTCTGAGTTATATGGCTCTGTGGAGTAGTCCACATAGGTTTGTACAGAAGTTCAGAATGGGATGCACATGCAAAGTTGATGCATCTACACAGTCAAAAGGATGCAGTTTGATGCCACTTTCGCTGCCATGCTTCAAGGCTAGGGAATGATGAGAGTTGGAGTTTGGAGAAGTTTGGCTTCTTCTGCCAAAGGGCCCTTCCACATAATCTGCTTTGAGCTGGATTATCTGAGTCTACACTCAGATGTGGGATTTTCTGCCTTGATATTCTGGGATATTGGGCTGTGTGGAAGGGCCCAAAGAGTCCTGGTGTCTCAGGGCCCTTTTACACAGCCCTATAACCCAGAATATCAAGGCAGAGACTCCCACAATATCTGCTTTGAACTGGATTATCTGAATCCACACTGCCTTGCAATCCAGTTCAATGTGGATTTCATACAACTGTGTGGAAGGGGCCGCGGCAAACTACATCTCCTGGGAGAGGTGTTAAATTCCCCTAATTCTCGATAAACCCACTGATATTTCCAGAAAATAAACTTTGGGTTGTTGAGGATGCCTGCCATTGGTGCAGGTGAAAGGTTAGGAGAGAATGCTTCTGGAACATGGCCAAACAGCCCGGAAAACTCACAGCAACCCAGTGATCCTGGCCACGAAAATCTTTGACAGTACACCTTATATTTGTTTGTATCCTGCTTTTATCTCTAGACCAGCATTTCTCAACCTGGGGGTCGGGACCCCTGAGGGGGTTGTGAGGAGGTATCAGAGGGGACGCCAAAGACCACCAGAAACCACAGTATTTTCCATTAGTCCCATGACTAACAGAAAATACTGTGGTTTCTGGTGGTCTTTGGTGTTCTGTGTGGGAAGTTTAGCTCAATTCTATCATTGGTGGGGTTCAAAATGCTCATTGATTGTAGGTAAACTATAAATCCCAGCAACTATAACTCCCAAATGTCAAGGTCTATTTTCCCAAAAAATCCACCAGTGTTTGCATTTGGGCATAGTGAGCATTTGTGCCAAGTTTGGTCCAGATTCATCATTGTTTGAGTCCACAGTGCTCTCTGGATGTTGGTGAACTACAACTCCACACAACTCAAGGTCAATGCCCAGCAACCTTTTCCAGTATTTTCTGTTGGCCATGGGAGTTCTGTGTGCCAAGTTTGGTTCAATTCAATTGTTGGTGGAGTTCAGAATGTTCTTTGATTGTTCAAAATGCTCTTTGGTTGTAGGTGAACTATAAATCCCAGCAACTACAACTCCCAAATGACAAAATCAATCCCCCCCAACCCCACCAGAATTCAAATTTGAGCCAAATTTGGTCCAGTGAATGAAAATATATCCTGCATATCAGATATTTACATTACGATTAATAACAGTAGCACAATTATAATTATGAAGTAGCAACGAAAATAATGTTATGGTTGGGGGGTCCCCACAACAGGAGGCACTGTATTAAGGGGTCGTGGCATTAGGAAGGTTGAGAACCACTGCTCTAGACTGAGACACACGTGAAAACAAAAAACAAAGTGCAATTAAATATCCACAAGTGTTAGAATACAATTCAACTGCCAATCAACAACAAACAAACAACAAGGGATGGCTCTCCCCAGCCTGCAAAGCGTAGAAGTCGCACCCAGCCCAACTTTGGGGAACTTTCCGATCCTTTCCCAAAAGCTTTGGAGACCCGGTGGGTAACTTTGCTGGAGTTGGAATGGGAGCTGGGAAAGCCCCCCCCCCTTTACCTTAATGTTGCAGAAGATGCCCCCGGAGCAGGCCTTGAAGCTGGGGGTCTTGTCTCCGCTCCGGGGCGCTTTGCCGCTGTCGGGCAGGACCCCCATCTTCTTCTTCTTCTTCTTCTCAGGTGCAATCCTTGGCGGCCAGAAGAGAGCCTTCTTCCCAGGAGGAGCCTGAATGGGAAGGAAACAAAGCCTCAGCCGGGCGTTTTTATAAGCCCGCTCCGAGCCTTGAAGTGGTGGCGAGGAAACAAACGCGCCTTCTCTCCTCCCTCTTTTCCCTGGGCTTCAGCGCCGCAAGGAGGAGGCCCGCAGAAGCTCCAAGGAGCCCGAAGCTGCATCTACAACAGGCAAGCCATGGGCAAACTTGGGCCCTCCAGGAGTTTTGGACTCCAGCTCCCACCATTCCTAACAGTTGAGTCCAAAACACCTGGAGGGCCCAAGTTTGCCCAGGCTTGGTGTAGTAAATGCGCCCCTAGTGCTTTAGAGTTACTCACTTAAGCGAGGATAGAACTCATAGAATCATAGAGTTGGAAGAGACCTCATGGGACATCCAGTCCAACCCCCTGCCAAGAAGCAGGAATATTGCATTCAAAGCACCACCGACAGATGGCCATCCAGCCTCTGTTTAAAAGCTTCCAAAGAAAGAGCCTCCATCACACTCAGAGAGTTCCACTGCTGAACGGCTCTCACAGTCAGGAAGTTCTTCCTCATGTTCAGATGGAATCTCTTTCTTGTAGTTTGAAGCCATTGTTCCGTGTCCCAGTCTCCAGGGCAGCAGAAAACAAGCTTGCTCCCTCCTCCCTATGACTTCCTCTCACGTATTTATACATGGCTATCATGTCTCCTCTCAGCCTTCTCTTCTTCAGGCTAAACATGCCCAACTCTTTAAGCCGCTCCTCATAGGGCTTGTTCTCCAGACCCTTGATCATTTTAGTCGCTCCTCTGGACACATTCCAGCTTGTCAATATCTCTCTTCAATTGTGGTGCCCAGAACTGGACACAAGGTGATTCCAGGTGTGGTCTAACCAAAGCGGAATAGAGCATGGGCTACATGCTGTGATCCCCTAGCTCAGTGGTTCTCAATCTGTGGGTCCCCAGATGTTTTGGACTTCAACTCCCAGAAATCCTAACAGCTGGCAAACTGGCTGGGATTTCTGGGAGTTGTAGGCCAAAACATCTGGGGACCACAGGTTGAGAACCACTGCTTTAAATACTCCCATTGATGCAGGCCAAAATCCCATTAGCTTTTTTTGCTGCCGTATGATGATTGTCTTCCAGATGTGGTGTCTTGGCGGTGGGTCTGTTAGTGGCTATGGAGCTTGATCTGCATGTTCTCCTGCAATGAGGACATTGGTTTCCAGATGGAAGGTGGTTGGCTTGACATGCCTTCCTCTTCGTACATTTCTCCCTTTCGCCCTCCATTTGTACCTCTTTGAATTCTGCAGCACTGCTGGTAACAGCTGACCTCCAATTAGAGTGCTCAAGGGCCATAGCTTCCCAGTTCGCAGTGTCTATGCCACAGTTTTTGAGATTGGCTTTGAACCCATCTTTAAATCTCTTTTCCTGTCCTCCAAAATTCCGTTTTCCATTCTTGAGTTCGGAGTAGAGCAACTGCTTTGGTAGATGGTGATCTGGAATTCGGACAATGTGGCCAGTCCAGTGGTGTTGGTGGCGGAGGACCATTGCTTCAATGCTGGTGGTCTTTGCTTCTTCCAGCATGCTAACATTTGTCCGCTTGTCTTCCCAAGAGATTTGCAGAATTTTCCGGAGGCAGCGCTGATGGAATCGTTCCAGGAGTTGTGTATGATGTCTGTAGACAGTCCACCTTTCGCAGGCGTATAGCAGGGTTGGAGGACAATGGCTTTATAAACAAGCACCTTGGTCTCCCTACTACTCAAGGAGTAGACTGGGTCTCTCTCTAGTGGAGAATTCGAAGCACTTCACCAAACAAGAAATCCCAGCCATACTAAGAATGGGAGTTGAGGAAGTTAAAGTGACTTCACTGCCTTAAAGGTAGTGGGAACTGGTAAGCCCTGTTAGATTAGAGAAGGTCATTCTAGGTTGAAGGGTATTGATTCTGTAAGCATCAGCGTTGTTCAAGGGCTCTGAAGATAGGCAAGGGGGGAATTCATAGGAGAAGCACAATTTGAGAAATTCTGCATTAAAGGATAGCCCCAGTCTGCTGTGTTGTTTCACAGCCACACGGTTTAACCATTGCATGGTTTATGTTAACTGAAACTAATATAAATGATTAGCAATATTCAATCAGTGGGAGTCTTAAGACTTTAAGGCTGTTTGTTTTCCTCCTACAGTTCTCCTCATGGTGCACTTTCCCCTGTCCTTAATGAAGGCCATACCCACTGCTCCTCCTTCTTGGGCTCTTTCCACATAAATACTCTTTTTCTATTCCTATCTCAGCCAGGGTTTTAACATTTTAACATTTTATCCTGCACATCTGGCCCGCCCTTTATGTTTGATTTTTATTATGTTGTTTTGCACTGTTTATTTTATTTTGTTATTTCATATATTTTGTTGTGATGTAATTTTTCTGTTATTTTATGTTTGCTGTATTATTTTCGGGCTTGGCCTCATGTTAGCCATTCCAAGACCCCCTCGGGGAGATGGTGGCAGGGTATAAATAAAGATTATTATTATTATTATTATTATTATTATTATTACTATTAGTATTAAATGACCCTTCTATCTCAACAATTGTGTGATCTGGCAAATGGGTTCAATACTATTAATAGTCCATGCTTCATGATCTGTGGCACAGTCCTGGATTGTTGTATAACATTACAACTGGAATCCTCATATCCTCTGTGGAGTTTACCTTCCTCTTCAATTAGAATTTCACCTTTAGAAATACTGGGTTTGGAGTCACAGTGAGATGTTTAAACTTGGATTCCATTGAAATCAATGAGAGGTTTGACCTAGGTCTCATCAACTTCACCAGGAACCAAATGCAAATATCTTAATCGGCGTCCAGCGCAGAAACCACACAACACTCCAGTGATTTCGACCATGAAAGCCTTTGACAAAAATATAGATCTTCCACTCAAATCAATTTCTCTATATCTTACCTGTTGAGGGGGAGGAGCCCTCTTTCCTTGTGAAAGAGGAGCCTTCTGCATTGTCTTTCCAGAAGCCTATAAAAAAAGGAAACAATTTTGCTCTCCTTTTAAAGAAAGTAGCTATCACATGGTCTTCTTAAAATCCTTCAGAGAGTCTATCACCCGTGGATCTTGTTTTCTTAATTTTAGTATTATGTGATTCCTAAAACAAATCTATTTCTCTATGTTTTACCTGTTGAGGGGAAGGAGCCGTCTTTGCTTGTGAAGGAGTCTTCTCCATTGTCTTTACAGAAGCCTATAAAAAAAAGGAAACAATTTTGCTCTCCTTTTAAGAAAGTAGCTATCCCATAGTCTTCTTAAAATCCTTCAGAGAGTCTATCTTGTTTGGATCTTGTTTTCTTAATTTTAGTATTATGTGATTCCTAAAGCAAAACAATATCCAAACTACTTGCTTGTCCATATGCTAAATGGAATGAACTTAAAGAGTGGAAATTCTGTAGCCCTTTAGATGGAAGTGCAAAACCTGAACTACTCCACTGTTCCAGCACTAACTTTAAATAAACTTTCCTTCTTGTTTGTTAAGACTTTGGCTGGATCAGTCTAGCTGTTCCATGGGAGACTGCCTGCCCCAGACACTAAGCCCTTGAAAGTGGCTATACCTAAATATACTGTATGTTCATATTTATTATTTTCCTTTTCACTCTGGCGTTTCCTGACACTTAAAGATGAAAAGCATCAATCAACCTCTTGTAATTTTTTAAATTTTTTACTTTGAAAATATATTTCCCTTTTGAACAAGACCCCCAAGGTGCTTTACAATAAAAAGTGTTTATTCAATGCTAACCCCATAGGTCTTCTGCCTCTTGTAATTAGGAATAAGGGGAGGTAATATTAATGTATTGTCGAAGGCTTGCTACTAGCAGGTCATAGACCCAGCATAATGCACTGGTTTGAGCATTGGAATGACGTCTCTGGATAACTCCCAAGTTATGTTCGCTCAGCCATGGGACCCATGAGGTGACCTTAGGCAGATCACACTGGATGATGTGTTATTATTAAATACAAAACACATTACAGGACAACAGTATAGTATACTAACCAAAGTAATTGTGTGACTACCACAAAAGCAATTATATAATAAATACTACTAATTGATTAAAACATGCAACTGCTATACTGACCAAGAGAAAAATATATAAGCTCTAATTAATACAAAATTAAACCTTCTAAGATCTTATTTAATCAATGGAAAGACTAAGGACCTCATCACATTCAGTCATCCAATGTGGGCAACAGGGAGGGATTTGCTGAGCAGTGTAGCGAATCAATGGGGCAGCGGGTAAATCTGCCACTCCGCGTCCTGCATTGCCCGCATTGACGCTTTCCTCATCACAAGGGAAAAGATTCACTGCCTGGCTTCCCACCACACTTTCCCTGTTGCTGGCAACAAGAACATGGAAAGCCTACCCTGTTCTTGTGGCTCCCTCATATGATGCTTCCACCACAGTTTGAGGATGGAGCCCAGCCAGAAGTATCCCTACATCATTTGATGGGATCCTGCGGGTTCTATCTGAGAACTGTGGTGAAAGTATTGTACGATGGGTGAATTTCCATGAAGATCTAAGTCCCCGTACCTTACCATTCTGAGGCCCAATGTCTTCCAATATGGTGGACTATAATGCCTATCATTGGGTAGTGCAGTCATGGCTATAACCTGGAGATGTTGGGAGCAACCCTCTATATCTGGAGACTGTGAAATTTGACAAAGCTATTCTAGGTTCAAGGGTATTGATTCTGTAAGCATCAGGGGTGGTCCAAGAACCCTACAAGACTCAAGATCGAAAGCAAAGGCAGAATTCATAGGAGACCTACGCAATTATTTAAACATTAAAGGATAGGCAGAGTCTGTTGTGTTGTTTTGCAGCCTCATTGTTTAACCATTGCATCTTTTATGTTAATTAAAACTAATATAGATACTTAGCAAAATTCAATCACTGGGAGAGGAGGCTTAAGACTAAATGACCTTTCTGTCTCAACAATTGTATGATATGGCAGATGGGTTCAATATTATTGCCTTTGCTGATGTTTCTAGTCCATGCTTCATTGCACAGCCCTGGACTGTTATAACACATTAAAAGTGGAATTCTCATATCTTCTGTTGGGTTTACCTTCCTCTTTAATTATAATCTCACCCCTAGAAATACTGGATTTGGAGTCACAGTGAGGTGCTCAAATTTTGATTCCATCGAAATCAATGAGAGGTTTGACACAGGTCTCATAAAATTCACCAGGAACAAAACTCA